AAGTCTGGATCCTCGTGTCTGGATTCAATCTTCGAATTGAAATCCTTCAGGTCGTGAAACTACGTCAATGAGTTTATATGCATTAACACACACACATGCGACTCTGAATTGAAGAGTGCGTGAATAGCATAAATCACCTATGCAGAAACGAGTGCCAGCGGACACAGGTTACTGCGTGCGAGGATGCAGATATATCATGTGGTTGCTGCTCGTTAGCACATCTGTGCACCGTTTTGAGTGGACAGGGTGAGACGAATCTGGGTCCAGTTACAGACAGATTTCGGACATCAAACTTCAATCACACAAACAGCGCACGTGTGGATGGTCATTTCAAATTTTATCAAGATGGTGTGACAGCTTGATGATGTCATCTAGATGTGCCGAATTGTGCATCTGTGCACGACTGGTTAACTCTGATAACGCAAACCCAAGAGTAAGCGAAACTCACATCTTCACTAATACGGTGCAATTTCTGCCACGTGATGTTGACCAGTAGATGCCTTTCCTGGGCCCGGCACATGGAAGTGAATAGACCTTTCTGGGGGCACTGATACACTCTCTTCCCCGTCAATTTTCCCCTTAGAGCATAGCAGCATTAATGCGGTAGTCCTTACATTAACACCATTGAATCCTTTCAAATGAAAAGTTTAAACTTTCACTCCAATGGTGACGTCAGTATTTGCAATGCCTCCTCGATAATGCCAATTTGGTATAAATGCCGCAGTGAATGAGTACATGACCACAGCAAAATTTGTTGTTTCAGTCCTCCGTTGAAATCTCTATTGCATCTTCAAGTACGTATCGTCAGAATATAATCATATGTCTCAGGCACACTTCTGCAACAGGATGAGTGTTCACTACAATCGAATGTGTTTACATAGAACCATGGTGGGTAACTGTTACGTTTCCTGAGTGGGGGACTTCCGATGGAGCGCCATTGAGTTTCCGAGATGATGGTAACATCCGAGGCGGTGTCTAGTTGCAGACGAACTGGATAACCATTGATGAGGACGGTTGTATACATCCTCTGCTGCTGTGAAATGTCTTCGGAGGTGACTCGTAGGCTGAGAGATGAGATGGTGGGGCTGGCTGGTTTGGCAATTGACCTTTCCTTCGTGTGAAGGTGGGGGTGCCGTCCACTCCTGTTAGACGGAGATGATTTGCAGTATCGTCCTTGTGGCCCTTAGCTTTGCATCGCTGACATCGATACTGCTTGTAAGGGCAGAACTTGACATAATGACAGGT